AAAAAGATCTTTGAGATGTCATCAAGTTAACATTTTAATAATATAACTATGCAGTTTGATGAACAAAAACGTTTTAAGCGTGAAAAGATCTTACACATTTCGGTGACGTTAATTTTGCTTAATGTTTTATATATGTTTTAGCTTCACCTGCATAATGCTTCACAAAACAAATTATATCTCTAATGTACAGTAAACTATTTTCATGTATATCGGTAAAAATCTGGTTGCTGACCCTTGCATCATTACAACATTGTTATCATAAATGCATCAATAATGTATATTATTAAACATGTACATATAACATATGTTTATAATTACATGGAATAAGTAAAGCTATAATCGGCGCAATATTCAGAAACTGTACACTCGTGCTGTTTTCATATAATTTAAGACTTTAAGGGGAAAATGTCTCTGTTATCTATATACAAAACACAAATCGTGAAATTATGAATTGTAACCTTTGGCTTTTACTTAAGCATATAGCTGTGTTTAAAGTGTCTAAAATACTGTTCGTTGTGCTGTAACTTTCTTTCTTATCACGTGCATTTTCAACAATGAATGAAACAGTTTAAAACGAGGAAGTACTTTAAGAATACTTCATTTGAAAGTAGTTTTCATTATGTTTTCTTGCTATTTTCAGACTGTCATTATGGGGAATTTTGCGGCATGTATTTCATCAATTTTTTTTTGTATGTCAGTTTTCAAGAACCATTGTGGGTAATGTTAAAACAAACTCAAATTTCCCCATGAATAACATTACACTTATAATATATCATTATTTAAAAAGCGATAAAATCATTCGTTCTTAAAGTTTCAGCTACATCCCCCGTTGTGTGTATCAGTTTTGAATCAGAGATATAAGGTTCTTCAATTGTCACGTGGATTTCCGAAAGTTATGTAGGCTGTTTAGAAACAGAATTCCCAAATTCGTTTGTTTCTTCTGTATTGTTTTGTTTATACATTCATGAGTTAATTGGATTAACAAGACGGAAACACTTACGCTAATAAATGTCACGTGTTTTGAAATGTTTATACTGTTTTATTTATATATATATATCCTCAGATACAAACATGTAGATATAGTAGACATGGATAATATATTAGATATGTTCTTAAAATACATGGTAAAAGGTATAGAGTTGTAAATTATTACTATTTTAAATTATCATGCCAAACTTGCATACACTTATCAATAAATATTTATTTAAATATACTTGAAAATAATTTAATCACTATTTCAAAAACAATCAGCAAAACAGTATGTATGCAATGATCTTTTAAAATTTGAAACACAGTTATAATTTCCATGTTCACAATCAGCTACATTTTATTCATAAACTTTTTCATCAATACATTATCAGTATGAATTGTTTTAAATGATCACTGCATGTACTTGTTCTGATGCAAAAAAGGTGAATTAGACAATTTGTCCCCATATTTCAGCAGAGTAATTTAAGAAAGAACCTAGAAATGAATTGATCAGCTGGCATTTGAGTTTAGGTTTACTGTTTACGTCAATAAAAATATCTTTAATATAATATTTTTACAATTATACAGTAATACATTTAATGCCTTAAGGCCTTGTCATTTAGTGTTCCTGGTTTAAAGCAAAATTGCCAGTATAATTGAAAATAGTGCCCAGGTAGTTAGAGTTATCAACTGTTTCTATTTGTTGGCAATTCTGGAATCCACTTTTAATTCTCTTCTCCTGAAAAACAATAACCTTAGTTGTTAATGTATTAAAGCAGCGTGCCTTGAGATTCATCCTTATTTAATGAAAAATTGACAATGTACTAAAAAGTAAAATAAAGTCAAGTAAACAAATAAAGTAATACACACATTTCAAAGGGCACTTTCAATCCGCCTAAAATACTAACTAAAGGTCAAAATTTGCAATAATTGCCTTTACAGCGGCAATCACTCAGTAAATAGGAGATTTTACAGCGTCTGAAATTTCAAGTTTCGTAATTAATACACTACTTTTATCGAAAAAACAGTCAGATTCATTGAAATTATGTTCTTTACAAATTACATTACATTGTACCAACAAATTTTCAGCTGAAATTTCATCATTTTGTTCTCAAAGTTTTTTTCTAAAAATGGTTTTGGTTTTTTGAATCTCACTTTTTCTTTATGTGCTTTTTGCTTCTTTATAGTGCATCACCAGGTGAGTATAGTTACAAAACGAAGAAAAAATAATAGAAATATGGTCACTCCATTCGTTTATAGAATATACGATAAAATTTCAAATATTTGGAAAATTACTTTTTTCTTTTACAAGGTAATCAATTACGGATTTTCGTGACTTAGTATACGAGCCAATATTGAAGTCACTCCCTAATCCATCGTTTGTTTGAAATGCAATTAAATAGAACGTTTAAAGTGCATCTAAATTGTTAAAAGTGCAAGCAATTTTCAGTAAAATATTGTATCATTCTTTCCTATTTTATGTCATAAATTGTTGACATTGGTTAAATTTGTAAAAATGCATAGTCATGCTGTTATCATATTTTTATGATGATATCAAGATATACTTTCACAAACAATGCCTTTGTTAACGCACGTAAAATGAAATCAAAATAATATGTTCCATTCAAAAGTTTTAACTGCTATCGTTCACACATTTAGAGATGACCTCGCACATACATGCATTCTTTCAATTGTATGATTTAAAATACAGTAAAATATATCATAAATTACTGACCATCCTATATTTCAAATGTCTTCCACTAAAAGAATGATACGACTTATCATTTAGGTGGACAAATGTTGAATAGGTACATGTATATTCATATATGCTATTAAAAGATTAAAATATAAGATTCGTGTAGACGCAAAAACTTGTTTTATAGAAGGCACATTGCGGTACAAGCCAATAGTTAAAAGCATTTATCAAGTCCTGTTCGTTTTTTAAGTTTTTCCTGAGTAACCAATATTCTATCGTAAAATATTGTTTACCAATAACTTTTACAGCAAAATAAATGTTTTAAACAAGGGAAAATATTAAATCTAAAATCATATGTTGTTATCCTTATGACAAGATTAAAGTTTAAGGACTTCCCATATATTTACATAATGCTTTATGATATTAATTATAAAAAATTTTCCCTACGTTTTTTGCTGAACACTTGCAATTGGTCATCGTCATATGCATTGGATAGTTAATGGTGAATAAGCGTCATAAAGTAATGTGTCAACTTCGACGAACAGTCTAACTTGTTTTGGGTAAATACTTTGAACAACGCTTTCATCTTGAAACTTGACAGAAAATAATAGGAAAATTCTCCCACAAAACCTGTAACAAATACTTTTTATCAGCTTTCTTAATTCATTTATTTTATTACATTTCATGCTTGGACAGTGAAAAGTGGTAACAGATCTTTAAAAAAATACTTATAAAACAATTAAATGCTGTCCTAGAAATTTATAAATTGTTGTCTAGAATTTTGGAATAAAGAATCCATAAGTTTCTTGCACACAATTATTATTCAACTTTAAAAATGTTTACTATTACTTCGGCCGCCATTTTGTATGTATACTGATAAATAAATATATTTATAAATTTATTACATGCAAATGTGTCAATTTTGTAAATATGTTACGAAGATGTACCTATGGTACTAATCTTATAAAATAAATGTTCTTTTCTGTTCCTATAAATTAAACTGTGGATCCATAAAATGACAATTTAAACCGGAACTTCATATTATATTTATCACATAAGCCAGTGTATTACATGAAATAGAAATAAATTTGATTTTTCTGTTGCTTTGTTATATAATTTTTCTCTTTTTTAACCTTATGAATAGGAAGAATTTCCGTTAAATTTTGTGTATTGGCTGAATTTAGAAGAAACGTAGTCCGGCAAGACACCAGTGAATATAATGAAAATATGTTTTACTGCAGTGAAAAATGATTTTTATGGTGAAAATACGAAAAACAAAAATACGCATTTTATTTCATCAAAATTTCATTTATAAGTATACATGTATAATAAACCCATTTATCAGTTACGCTATAGGCGCATCAATGAAGAATAGTTCCTCTGCATACTAAACAGTCTTTATTTTGGTTATTTTATAGATAGAATATTATATTCATTACTGAATTTATTGAACTCGATCAATAAAATAATATTTTGCTCACAGACTCTCATAATATAATCTTATTTAACTCGTTCAATACATTCAGTATTGAACCTACACTCATACAATATCCTGTATTTAATAAAAATGATAATACATGTACATTAGACTAAGTGTAATAACACTTCGACGGGACTTCATTTGCGTTATATATAAAAAACATAGCGTTAAGGCGTGCTAGTTAGAAATGTTAGAGTTACACTATAGGCAGGTCAAGAAAGAATGACTCTTTTTTAACAGTAAAACGCTTTTATTTTAGGTATGTTATAAATAGAATATTATCGTGTAGATTCAATACTAAATTTATTGAACGCATTGAAAAAGATATTCAACTCGTTCAGGAAAACCTCTACACTCAACAAACATTGTTTACAGAAACAAGAAAATCTCAATGCACGTTTTATAAACTAGAATTTATATTGATTACTAACGCAACACAATGATCATGAACTCACAAGTTATTCCGGCAGATCGTTATACAAACTATTATGTTCTGACATGATTTAGAATATAACACAAACATATACGTTAATCTAAATGAGTCATTTATTATACAGAATATGTTAAACTAACAAATAAAATAAAATACAGAATCCTTTCATTATATCAAAGCTTATTCAAATATAACTCATTAAATTATGTATAAATCAAGGCAATTATATCAACTGCGCTAAAATAGTTTGGCACTAACGCATCAAAGTACAACAAAATTATATCTTCCAAAACATGTCAAAAACGCTATAACATTATACAATGTACACTATTAAACGATGCATGCAATATCAACAATAATTTATTATTGCAAAGGTAAGTGATAAATAAATGTATATAAATACGATATAGAAAACATTTGAGATTAAATGACTATTACACTATAAAATAAATATCACAATAAACATAAATTGCTAAAATGATAAATACGTTCTATTGCTGATTAAATCAAATGTCAGTCGAATGCATCTTTTCACATTTAGAACATCTAATGTAATATTCACTAAATTTTGCTTGTACTGACTTTAACATACTGGATTCTATTCTATACATGTATTATCTTTATTCATCAAAACATTTTAGTCATTTTTTGTTTGTAAGCTTGGAACTATTGAAGCTGTATTATCTTAACAACCATCTATCCAAAACAGTTGACTATAAGATCGCTTTCTTCTCATCCCGTTTCATTTTTTGATATCTGGATCAATATCTATAAATAATTAGACGTTCTCTCCGTACCACCGATTGTTATAGTGTCTAATTGTCCCACATGGTGTTCTTTAACCTTTTTGCTGTCTAACCGATAACGTCCGTGTGTAAATCGGACATAGCTATAGTCATGATTAACTTCAAATAACAGTTTGTCCTATCTCAGTAGATATCCAGAGAAACTTGATTTTCCTCTACCGTGTATAGCGTGGCTTCCCTCAGGCCATTGTAATGTCACGGCCACTTTGTCCCCTTTATTCAATCTTAAAATCGCGACTGCGTTTCCTTGATCCCACGTGGTAAAATGCTTTCCATCATGTGAAAATCTATGATCACTGATTGCTGAAACAGCCACTTCACCATTACGGACAATACTTGCTTCAATATAATGTCCTCTTTCTGCAACAATATTTGTGTTAAACGTATAAGTTCCATGTGTAGGTGCAGTAAAGGCCCCAGTATGATGGTTGTATGCGTGACCGATGTTTGTTATGACATTGTTGAAGACTATATTCTCTAACATTTTGACCGTAGCAGAAGGTTTCGTCAGTGTCGCATGAAATGCAACTTCTGGTCTGAAAATTTTTCTTCGTCGAAAAATTGCTGAAAATAAAATAAATGTTTTTACTATATATTGTATAAGATAATGTGATATAAACATTGTAGGCAATTTAAACAGTTGTTTCTCTGTTCATATTTTTATTGATAACAAAAGTAAACTAGCTCTTTTTGTTAGTATGCAACTTGTGTGTAGTTTTAATGAAAATTTGAATTGCGAAATGATACGTACAAACATTCAGAAAAAACAACATATATGGCTTTTAATGATTTTATCTAAAAATAGCAGATGAAATTAATATTGCTCAAAAACTTACCCCTTTTACTTATTTTATGATTCTCGATGATTCCACTGCTAATATTTTCAAATTGATTCGATAACATAACATGAGAAGCTTTTCCCGTCTCTAATTTAGTAACTCTCTCTTCTAAAGCAGCAATATTGTTTTTTAATGAAGTAATTTCATCTTGGTAATTAACTAATGTTCTTTTAAAAAATATTTTTCCATTATCCTTTGATAATACATGACCAAGAGGTGTAGCTCTTGACAAGTGTAATGATAAGAATATCACAACTGAAACGAACGCACGATTCATCCTGTGTTTGTGTATTTGCGTCTATTGATACGTAAACTGTAATTTATCGTCTGCTGCAAGCGAATTTATACACTTGTATCACATCGTTCATTGGTTTGTAATACGATTGGCTGGTTTCACGTCATTCATATATTACGCACTTAATCAATGAAACATTTCAATCTTTGTGACGTTAAACTACACATATTTTTTCGGATGTTCATCTCTGATTTGTTTTTAAATTAATAAAATGTTTTCTTAGGTGACTATGCAATTTTTATGCGAAGGATCTAATGATTTGATATGGTAAATGCAATATTTACAAGTTAATGTCGGTTTAAAATATATGTGCTCGTTTGTTCTTTTTTCTTGTCGCTTTTATATATGGTGCTTTAAAGTACATTAACTCAACGAAACGTTTCGATCATGTTCCCTGTACACTATTTTGTGTAAAGACTCCACTCCGAACACGAGTGTAAATTTTCATTATCTAAATAATACATATACGATAATTCTTTTAACGATATCTCTTTTAAATATAGCTAGCTCAGGCTATGTACAAACATTTCAAAACACATTATATGCTTTAATTAATATGGTAAAATATTAAATATACAATTTGTTTTCAAATCACCACACGAAATTATTCATTAAAAAGCAGAATTCTTATCTAATCAAGCAACAAATATTTCAATATTCTAAATACTATATATGCATTTTTTTAAAAAAAATATAAATCTATATAGTCTGGTCTAGGATAAACGGTTTTGAAAAAAAAAATGCATATAGAGTATTTAGAATATTGAAATATTTGTTGCTTGATTAGATAAGAATTCTGCTTTTTAATGAATAATTTTTGGTTTTAAGTTAGTTTGTTTAAGAAATTGATATCAAGTTTGAATGCGTTGTTGTAGAATAATGAACGGTTAGAGAAAGATAATCGCTCAGGCTTATCGGCCTTCGAGAATTAAAAAAAGTATTTGAATGATTAATCATGCATTTTTCATTACAACGCTTGAATATCTATTTCCATTCTAACATGCATAAAAAGAGAATTGGTAAAATGTGTTGAACTATATTATGCAAAAATGTAATTTTCCTGAAATTGACATCATATCTGACTTCATATGTACGACTTGTATGTTTTCTTTTTTATGTCTTCCATATAGCTTGTTATAATGCATTCGGAAGCCCTATTTGTTTGATAGGGCAATAATGTGAAGGGTGTTTGAATGATTATTGACATTAACATTATCATTGTTCATTATTTTTCAGTGCATGCATTTACACGTGCTCCGTTCATACGTTGTTGGTTTATTGCATGTTTCTTTCCTGTTATCAATAGATGACGTGTTTTCGTTATATCGCTTTCCTATGTAACATTGTTCTTTTCTTTACTTTAGTATCTTCGTTACATTCAGCTATCTGACAATTGTGTTATAATGTGGATTTTTTTTGCTTTAGATGTTAAAGGTAGCCTTCACTCAAATTATACAGTCTGATCAAATCAAAACTGCAATATTTTATTCTATTCATGTTGATCGAACATACACGACATAATTTACAATCAAAATGCACCAGGTAAATGAATGTGATAGTGGAGAAACTAAGCCGTGTTATGTCTGCCTTTTCTGCCATTTTTACTGTTGTTGTTGCTCTTTTTTGTTTTTGCACTGAAATGGCCAGGTTTTTTTTATCTAGGATATTAGACCATTGTTGTTCTCGAAAAACCTTTTTACCAGGGCTCTATTAATCGCGGGTTAAACTGTAATTAAAATTGACTGAAACTGATTGTGTAAACAAATGATTTGAAAGTTAGCATACTTTTTATCTATATAATAACTCTCTTGCTATACAAGAATGTACAAGAATGAAGATCTAGTAAATATTCTAATGGTGTATCCTTTTTGTATCAGTTTTGAACTGACACGTTTTATCAAGAAGACTTAGGATACCTTTCACAAAACTGCGTATTGCAGTCAATAATCTTAGAATAAAGACAGGTAGATATTCACGTGAAAGAGCAGGTCGTATTTTTAGAAAATGTTTGATGTTGTAACTCAAACGAAATTGAGGATGAGTTCCATTTTTGTTTAATTGTCCTGCATAAGAAAATTTTATGTATATATTAAAAATATGATAGGAATATACCAAGTTTGTTTTAAAAGAAACTTTGTTCTAAAGAAACGAAGATGCCTTGTCAATATATAAATGAAGCTTTCAAATTATGATACTAGTTTATTATATGTGAGTAATTTACCTACTGTTATGTTTGTCATACAGTCCAAACTTCTGATTGTATTTTCCTCACTGTGTATGTATTAACCATCATGTTTTCATTCATGTTGTAGTTTATAATTTAGTTTCATTGTAGCTTTCCTGGCAACTGACAAGCATTTGCAATGTCAACATGATATATGTTAATTACTTTTATTAACTTTCAGGTGACGTTAAATACGTGACATAATGTTGACCTATTGTGTGTTTACATCTCTTCGTGGATTAAAATAGATTTTATCACAATGACCTTACTTTGAGGTGTCCCGAAAGCTGAGTTTTCCATTCGACTTCTACAATCAATCTGCAACCCTTTTTGAAATTAAGGAGACATTGAGAGCAATGTCAGTCTTCAAGAAAAAAAACACTGTGTCAAAATATTGACAGTTACCTAAATTTGATACATGATAAATTAACCAAACAAACAAAATGTCTTCTTCTTTAAATTATTAATATTATAGCTTTATCCAAACCACAAAATTGACACATGGTGCTGGAAATAGAATATACATAGCAGGTTAGTTAACAATTAACTTGCATTTTGTCTCGAAAAGACATTTGCCGTCTATGTTTTCTTGTAATGTATCGTCATAGAATTCCAATTCCATTTGCTTAACTTATATAGAAAAGTTTGGATTTTCTATACATTGGTAAGATACATTTAGGTTTTCTTTCCCATCAAAGAAGATTACGCAATTTTAAGTTAAATTATGACGCAAGAAAAACAACAAGACATAGAGGATGAATTATACGCTAAATGTATTGAAATTATCTGCCTATCTATATATCAAACAATGTAGAAAATATAACGATTTGTCGATACTGCTGACTGTATCTGTTTGTGTATTTGATAAAAGGATATTTCTATGAATTTCAGATAATTTTTGATTTTCATTGTTTTCAGTTATGATAACTTAATTACTATTATACATTATCATAATTAGTAATTGTCGTTTGTTTTCTTTGTTTCAAATGAAACAATGTAAAACGTGAAATGATACATCGAAAGTAGGATAATTTGTAATTGAGTCGTTCAAAAGAATTTACCAATAGTTGTAAAGCACCGTCATATGTAAACGGTAGGAATTTCCAAGATTATAAATAACAAGAAATTAGTGAAGTAGCTTTTTTCTATGCATGTCACATTCATTTATTCAAACAAAGTCATTTAAAGTATATGCTTAGAGAGGCAACGATTTTTCAAGCATTTCATATCGCATAACCAGGACTATTTCTCAGTCAGCCAGGTATTACAAAATGTATATCTCATTCAGAATCATTGTTAAAAGGAGGGTCCTAATATACTTTTGTATGAGCGACAAACTTTAAGAATCAATTAGTGACTGACCTTGTTAATGTGTCGTTTGCATGCATAACTGTATCTCTTTTTTCTAAAATAATGTTCCGTTTTTCGATAGAAAAAAAGTTGACAGGAAACATCAAACACATGATAAGAACATGTGTTTGCTCTAAAACGTATAATTTTGTCGCATTTGCGCGGAAACACGGTGTTCATGATTCGTCCTTAACCCGGTCACGTGACATTTAGTATAGTTTAATGCATATGTTTTAATGATAGGTTCGGGCAGAAATATGTAATCAACGAGCGCCGAAAGGAGCCACCTTTGCAGTTACGCTTGATTACGATATTGTCGTTGAACGGATATGCTAGTAAGTTTCATATTGTTAAATATGTGTTTCCTCAAACTTTTGTCAAATACTACAAATGCTAAAATATAAATAAAGCATCTGCCTGATATATGTGAATTTACATAACATGCCATATTGTAAATTCTTTTCATGCTTACAGATGCAAAAAAAGCGTTTCACGTACACGTACATGTTATGTTATACTTCAATTGTGCCCCTAATGTTATATTTATGTAAAGATTTAGCGCATGAAAACATCTGTTATTAAATGATACCTGAACATACTTAACATTACATCTTATTTAGCAAATTACCTAAATGGACCATGTCAATAGTATCACATATTTTAGATTTAGAAAAGTTTTGATTAAATATTATTTTAACATCCGTTGTTTACAAAAACCAAACAAAAACAAAAAACACTCATATCCACAAAATACAGAGATGTTATTGGTGGAAAATGCAGCTTGAGGCAAGCGTAATTTGAGTGTAAATATATGAAAATTTCATGTAACATTTACGCAATGAAATGTAAATATTAACGAATCATGTCAATCTCTTTATATGGTTAAAGTAATAAGTTAATGAAATATATCATATTATGGTGCATTTATGATAACATCACATTTTGTTTTAATAATTTTAATAAAACATGGTTCGCCCATATCCTGCTAGCGTCAACTGATTCTACCTATACGCCTTGCCGTCGGATCAAATTATGCACTGTTTGTTATTCAGTTCTTTTTTTTATTTTCCTGGATCCTGATTTCATCTTCACGAATGCACGATTTTAACTTCATGAATTGTGTGAGGGACGAACGAAAACTCGTCTCATATCAACTCAACAATTTAGCTTTATAAGAAGTTATGCAGTGAAAAACACAAGTTTACGATTGGGTGGAGAGCTTCACTAAATCTGAATGACAGTAATAGCTATAAAATGACAGAAGTGGGATTATGAAATATGTAAAAGTACAGTTGAATGTAAAGCACATGTCTAATTGTCATGCAATGAATATGAATACAATATATTTCCTTTGTAAGCGTCTTGTAGCATTTTGCTTATAATTCACATAGTATAATTTAATTTAATTTCAAATAGTATGATTGTTACATGTATGTTAATACTATGTTACATTAAGTCTCTTG